AATTAAAACAATAAATGTGGCTGCTTTGCTGCTTAAGCCATTAGCTTATACATATGCTGCAATTTAATAGGCATCGTAAATTCACACAAATGACTTTATTATTTCTATTATTTTAAACTTAAATTATTTCACTCAGTTATTTGCTGAATCAAAGCTAAGCAGCCTTTTGAATGAGTTGCAATATTTTTTTAAGTAATATTTTATACTAAACTCCATCGCAACATTTAAATTGTGTGCCTTGTCTCTTTGCCTTTTCGCTATGATTTTTTGTATGCGCTGTTGTTGCTACAGAGAGCCAAAATCTCAATGTCAATGTCGAAGCTAAGGCTCAAACAGCAGACCGTTGTCTCGCCCATGGCCTCTGCGTTGTTATCCTTATAATATTTCGGCGTCTGAATTATTGCACATCATCATAAGGATAAAACGGGGCGAAAGCCTTAAACAACGAGTAGACAAAAAGTAATAAAAATTTGTTCAAATGCTGTTGAATTTTGTCAGATGTACAAGTACCGTTGAAATATGACCGTAATAGCTATTGGCAGCAGCTGCAGAAAACTTTTTCTCTTCACATTTTTTTGACTTGGCGAGTTTTTACTTTCATTCTTGTTTTGCATTTTCTAGCCATTCTGCGTTCTTGTTTATTTTGTATTTATATATTGTTGTCATGTTTGCCGCTTAAATGACATATTTCTTGGCTAAAATATATTCGACATCTTTTGTTTAGGCGTCTAACTGACCAAAGGATAGACAAAAGCAAGACAAATGTTTTCCTTGAATGTCCTTGCAGTTGTGTAATATTTTTATTTAAGCATTTTTTTTTTTTTCAAAAAAAGATTTCTAAAAGAAAAGTGCTGCAGCTCGTTGCAGGCAAATAATTGCATAACAATTGGCACGAGAAAAATTTATTATACGAAAATTAATATGTTGGATGACCATCTAAAAGTATTATGCACATTTTTTCTTTAATTTACACATACAAGTATATTTAAGATTAATTATTTCGCTTCAACTGTAGAACTTAAAATGACAAAGAACTAGAAAATATCTTAATATGACATGTTTGTTTATTAAGCATTAATGTTCCCCTAAATGTAGGCAATACTTTCTTAGTGCTATTATAAAAATTCGAAGAAAACATTGTTTACAATTTGGCTCAAGTTAGGCTATCTCACCTACCTGTTTCTTCTAAATGTAGACAAACCTTTAAGCGCAAATTAAATCAAGTCACATTCCTGTTGAAAATTCCAAGAAAGCATTGCCTACAACTAGGCGCAAATTAAGCCATCGAACATACCAGCATAATTTTAAAATTCTCAAATAAAAAGCTCAGGATAGCTGCCACTCTGTCACTCTTTCTATGTAGAGAAAGTGGCTGTGGCTCGAGCTTACCATTGCACTGTGTCACAAATCGTTGAAAATAATTGAAAATTGTATTTTGGGGCATAGGTTCGCAACGTTTTTCCGAATCTGTTTCCCAGCAATTTTTTCTGGTTCTTAGAACTCAAAATAATTGTCACTGGAAAGAAACCCACATGACTTGGACCTATGTATTTTGAAGCAAATTACTGAACGTAACACAATCTGAATTTTTGTTGTACTTTTTAAGACAACATAAACTACATTTAGTTTCATCTCTAACCACAAAAAAAATTCAGAGAAATTGCGTACACTTCATAAATATAGAAATCGGAATACAATTTAGTACCTCACCTGACATTAAGGAATGCAGTTTGTCGTCGTACACGTGCCATAACATACCGCACATAATTATTAATAAGCCACAACAACACTAAAACATTTTCCTTGAAGCTCATAAATTTCCACAGCATTGATCCCATTACACCGAATAGTGACTTACTAATTAACTGTATACACTCTTACCATAAACCACTTCAACTTTTATGTTTGTGGCTTAACTCCCAGGCGTGGAATGCATAACAGAACCGAACTGCTTGCCGACCTTGGGAAAATCGTTCAATTTTACCTGATGCTAAGCAGCGGCACCGCCACTACACAATTCCCTGTGCTGGGCGGCCAAGTAAATGCACTGATTTAATTTCAGCCAAAGCAGAAGATGAAAAAAAAATTAACAAATATCGGAAGGTAGAAAGTAGTAAGGGCGCTAAGGAAAAATTGTGTAAAACTTTAGCCGTATGCCTGTGTGTGTGTATGCGCTTGTAGGAAGCCGTGCCGGTAGTGGGCTGCCCCAAGAAGCGTTCGTTGTGGCGATGAGCAAAAAAGAGATTAATTTGTAATTTGTATGCCACAATGCGGCAGACGCGGAAGGCATCAGCGAGAACGAGCATGAAATGATGCAGAAGACAAAAAAATTATGAAAAAATTACACCAAAATTCATACATATGAACGGTATATGTGAAGGTTGTGCATATGTGTTGAGGGGGCAAATCGACGTGAAAATAAAAAATTAATGTACCGTTTTACAAGTGCAATATGCCGTTATGCCGCACACAACTATAGTTTGTCTGTGTGCTTGCTTGTATGTATATCCTTGTATATATACATATGTATATGTATGTGTATCTTGTTTGTATGTTTGTATGTGGCTTGCGAAAATTTCATTTGTTTACAAATCCATAACTTTTGATTGCTTTACGAGCGATATTATGAATATCTTATTGGGTTCTCGTGGAATTTCTGTGCATGGGCGCGTTTGTGTTTGTGTATGCGTGTACGTAATTGGGATATTTCGTATTACACTTTTGTTTTCTAATATTAATTTCCCTCTTGGTTACATTGAACCAGCTCGGTTATAATAGGTTATTATAACGGTATCGAGCATAAACTGTAAAAAGTTTGTAGGTTAACCGATCCACGTTTTCAGCTTCATTTATTGATGAATAGTAAAAATATATGTATGGGAACAACACAATTTCAGCTTTTACTCTCACAGAGAGGTCTCTGTAGAATGTGAGGTGTGAGTGGCACAGTTACATAGCTTCTCCAAACGTATTCAAAATGTGGCTTTCTATAAATTCTCTTTCAATTAAAAAATAATTAAATTTAACGATGTGACCTTGTTGGAGAGTACTTGTATGCAGTAAAAAATAACTAGCCTAATTTATGCCTTAGCAGATAACAAGAAAAATGCAGCCTGAAAAAATACATTTTTTTATTAGAATTTGAATTTTTTAATTTTTATGACAGACTCCGCACCGTCAAGTTCACTTAAGCTCTAAAAGAAGTCATGCGCTTATCTTTTTGAACTGTCTTTGCAAGAGAGGCCTTCTCTACCTCTACTACTACCAAAGTTACTTAGAGATGTTTTTGTAGTAAAAAATAAGAGTTGCCTGAGTTAAGTACAGCGCTTCTTTTCATACAAACTTTGTTTTCATATTCTCTCGCTAATTCATAAAGAATATTTTTGTTTTAATTTTGTGAAAATTTCTTTGATTTGATAGACGAAGGTCGCACATAATGCTTTAAAAGAAATTATTTACAAAATGTGTTTATTTCCTATATATATCTGTACTCGCTGTTAATTGGTTTTTTGTACCTTGTCCACGCTTTTACTTATTTTTTTCTCATCTATTATATTGCTTCTTTATTTTCCATCTTTGCGCTGATGAAGCAATCAATTCCGCTACTCATTCTGTCCGCGTTTTTGACCTTGTAATGTTCTCCTACATTCAATGTCAAGTTACAATAATTAATTATGTTGGCATAAATACCAAAACGCAGAGTATACGGAAGATGTTGTGAAAGAGTTGATGTGTTCAGTTTAATACTAAAGTGTTTCAGAATCTAAATTGCTTTCTTATTATTCATTATTTCTCATTAATTTACAGAGCAATATTAAATATTGAAAAGAAGAATATTAAATATTGAAAAAATCGTCCGCTAATACGAAAATTTGCAAAACAAGTTAGAAAAGTTTTGATAGAAAATATATAACTCGCCAGTCGAAGCTAAAGATTCGTTAAGAAACACTGAACTCGAAGAGCAATATAAAACTCTCGAAAGAAAAGATAAAACTCGCGAGCGAAAAAATAAAACTAGGAAGAGAAAATATAAAACTCGTGAACCAAATATAAAAATATCGAGGAAAAATGTAAAATTCTTGACAGAAAAAAAAAACTGGCGATAGAAATATAAAGCTCTCGGAAAAAATCAAACTCTTGAGAGAAAATAGAAAAATCTCGAAGGACGTATAAAACTCACGAAACTTGATATAAAATTCGCGAAAAAAAGTATAAAATTCGTGAGGAAAATGTAAAACTATTGAGAGAAAAATTTTAAACTCTCGAGAGAAAATAAAAAAACTCATTAACCAAATATAAAAAATTCGATAAAAAATTTGAAACTCTCAAAAGAAAAAATAAAACTCGTGATAAAAAATTCAAAACTCTCGAGGAAAAATTCAAAACTCTCGAGAGAAAATAAAAACCGCAATAACCAAATATAAAAGTTTCGATAAAAAATTTGAAACTCTCGAGAGAAAAAATAAAACTCGCGACTAAAATATAAAGCTCGCGAAAGAAATAACCCCCATGAGAAAAATGCAAAATTCTCGAGAAAAAATTTAAAACTCTTAAGAGAAAAAATAAAACTCGCGGGTTTAAAAATAAAACTCTCAAGAGAAAATAAAAAACGCGATAACCAAATGCAAAAATTTCGAGAAGAAATTTAACACACGCGTGAAAAATTTAAAACTCGCGAAACTAAATATAAAACCCTCGAGGGAACAAATAGAGCTCATGAACGAAGATATAGAACTCCATGGTAAATTAACAAAAATTTATGAAGAAATATTAAATTCATATATGTATACTTGTATAGTCAATGCAGACATAAGTTCAAATAATTAAAAGAATTATATGTATTTTAAATCCGTTTCTAATAAATTTTACAATTCATATGTGATATAAAAAATAAATGTATATACAATATGTATACAAATATGTCTTCAATTTTAAAATTTTATTTTATCTTTTTCTCCCTCTCTCTCTCTCACTCTCTTTATTCCTCTCTCGTCTTACAGCGCTGTCAGCGAAGGCGTGCTCACCGATAATCCACATCTTGTGCTGCTCTTCTATCTGGCGCAACGTTTCCTACACGAACTAATAAAAAGTTATCGCCTCATACAGGTGGTGCCAATGGACATGTCCGGTTATTATGGTAAGTGGTTACGTGAATACGACACCATACACAAACAGATAACACGCACACACACAAACTCGGTGTGGTAATTGCATACGTCAAGTTGAGCTTATCCACAGTTCACACCTCATATGAGAATATGTCAGTATAGTTGTCCCAAAGCGTATCGAAACTTTGCTTAACACCTACTTTTGAGGTTATTTTCTGCTTTTCTTTTTTAAAGTTTTATAGCTGTCAGCGGAAATCTCAAACGCTTTCGGTGCTTACTTTTATTACCGCTGACAGCAATTGAAGTTCCACTTTCACACACATATACCACACACACACACAAAATCATGCAAACTTTCATCCACACATGGTTTCTGGTTGCACATTAGGAGAAATGAAAAATTCTTGTGAAATTTGGTCAGCTCTTTGCATTGAGAAGAAAAATCAAAAACAACAAAAGCAGCAAAAATTTTCATTGAAAACGAGTGGTTGAATTAGAGACACACAACGTGCAACATATGCATACCTATGTGTCACTGTGAATAGGAGATCTCATTTCACCTTGTTATTTGAAATGTTCTTGCCATTGGAAGCGTTCTTACATATTTTACACTGGCTCAGCAAAATTTGCAACTGCTTTAGGGTTATTACTTTGCAAACTAGAGGGTTTCTTCGAAAACAATTACTTCATGTTGCATGAAAAAACCACTTTACAAAATTTTCACTGCAAATAGTGAACAACTCACCTAACACATTCTGTGCGAAATGTCATTTGTAACTGGAAGAAAAAGTCCAGACTGTGAACACCAAAACATAACGTAGTAAGAAAAATTTGTCGAATAGAGTTTCGAATTCAATCTTTAGGCGCTACCAACTTTGAGAATTTTATGAAAATGCGAAAATTTGTTCTTTTTTTGAAATAAACATTGCACGTTTGCTTTGGTTTGGCGAAACCTTGCTAAAAAACTATAAATCGATCGAACGGAATATGAGAGTCGAGATAGAAAATATGAAACTCACGAAATCAAGTGTAGAACTTGCGGGAGAATGTACAAAATCAAATAAAAGAACCGAAATCTATAGATATTTGAATTGAGATCCTTGAACTTGGAAACATATCTCTCCTAAGTCCTTCAGATTGCTACATAATCTTATACCGGACCTGTAACCGACTACCAAAAATACAGTTAAGTTAAACAAAGCAAGAAAAGCTAAGAGGATATCTCTATTGGCGTCTAATTATTAGCTAATAATATCCAACACCTTAATGGGAATTCTCAGGTCTTGTATAAAAGCAGTAGTTTCGATGAGGATTCATGGAGATAGAGAACACGGAAGAGCAGGTCAAATTGACGGTAGATATATATAATAATGTTTGCAATATATAAATAAACGATGATTTCCACTCCAAGGTAGTTAGGTTTTACTACAAATGCTGATCTGTTTATGGTTCATCGAAGACCATATTGCTGGTCTTCAGAGAGCTTAAACCAAGCCTATTTCAATACTCAACCGTCACTGCTGTTCTCCGGGAGCAATGTTTGGGAGCGCGACGTAAGTGTACATTAAGCCAAATTTCTCACTAACGGCATAACGAGTTCGCCGATTACAATAAGAGAATTGAGACATTTTTAGCGTAAGACAGAAAACACGTGACGTGGTTTTGTTGAACAATTTTTTTTTTTTTTTGCCCAAAATAATTTATTCTCTTCAAAAACTCACCGACTCAGCCAGCTGACCTCGTACCAAAAACTTTTGTTTACAATCCGTATCGTTGCATGGGTATGCCTAGCTATGTGGCTATAAGTATCATCCGACTTGCTATTTAGTTGAATTGCTTGTCGCGCTGCAAGCATTATAGTAAACTGCTTCAAGTTCATTGCGCATTGCGTTCTCTTCGGCTGCCCTCGCGCTTGCTCCTTTGTCATGCAATATAATGCACTCAGCGCCACATTCCCGCACTGCTCATTTTAAGTTAACAGTGCACTAGCGCATATACATTCGCATGCAGATATTTGTAAGCAAATCGTTGTTTGCATGTGTGTGTGTATGACTGTGTGCAGTGGCGTTGAAAACTTTGCTTTTCTTGCCATTTAAATGCTTTGCACGCGCACAGATTGCATTCGCGTAAACTTATTCTGCTACATTTAATGTTGAAACTATTTCAGCACAACTACACACATACATACACGCATACACATAGATATTCACAAACAATCGAATTGCTGGCAATAATTTAGATTTTTGTGCAGCGCTCTTTGCATAGTTGCCAAATGTTGGCTCGTAAAAATTCAATTTTGGTTAGATTTGAGTGGATAGCTCTCGAGTAAAGTATTTACAATTATTGCTTGGTATACGAGTATTCGCTCAGAAAGTGTTGAAATTTCATGCGCATTCACAATAACGATATTACGAGTTAAATGCAATGGCAATTTGTAGGGTGTAGTGCAAAGTTGGCATAAAATATTTGTAAACTGATTGCAAAGTTTTGGTGATTATTTTGAAAATTTATATTAGAAACGAAGCTTTCGTTTGAGGCAACGCTTAGTGCGGAGTTTATTTTGCCGCTAGATGATAATTGCTGTTAAATTAGCTACTTAAGCAACTTATTGTTCTCGAAGTTTAATGCGAGAGGAATATTTGTTACATTTTTAAAATAAGTATAGTCTTTATTAAACTGCTTTGAGTAGCATTCAGTATTTATTTCTGTAAATTTTCTATGATGACTGAAAAATACAGTGGTAAACATTAACAAAATATTATATTTGCTAGGTTCAAATAAGATAGACTTCACAACATTTCGTGTATTAATGATATTCTAGGTAAACCTACAAATCACTTTGCATACTATTTTCTCTATGATTAGTTATATGTATCTGTCAACCTGATATTTTTTTTTAGTTCCCTGACTCCAGTCAATCAAAATATTTTGAAATATTTTCGGCGAAATCACATAACTACTTGACCGATTTCACCCAAATTTGGCGCATAACATTATGTTAATACCTTCATGTCACGGTTTAGTAAAAGGCAAACTTGGACTACCATCACGCCTACTTCCCATATACCAAAAATAATTTTAAACTACCTGAATCTTTCATCACACTACCTGAATCTTTCACCACACAATATTTCAATCAGGTACTAGAGCCTACAAGATGTAAAATTTTGATTTAGAAGTGGTCAAAATCAGACTATAACTTCTATAGCCACCAACATAGTATTGTTGCCGAAAATGGCTGAAATCCGTCTAGTTTGGTAATCAAACTAGTCCGCATACACCCATGTGCAGCTCAACATTCCTCGTAGTACCATGGGGGCACATGTACAGAGTTTGAACAGAAAATCAATCTTTTGCCCTAATTTTTTCTTGCCTGAACCCATGAATAGACAGAACGATGGACAAACTAACAAATAGACAGATATCTATAAATATTAAAATTAATTCGGTTCATGTAGAGAAATAAATTAGCGTTAGCAAGTTTGCTGAAAATTTTCTGTTTCTAATCGAATCACTTCTACGGAATCATTGAAAATTTTATAGGCATGTTTTGGCACAAACCATTTAGTGAAGGTAATGTGAATCGTCAAGCTACCTCTCTTGATGATGATAATATCGAAAAGGTTCAAAAAACCGTGCTTATAAATAATACTATTAGCATAAGAGAGATAGTAGAGGATATCAACATCTCTTATGGGTCAACTCAACACAGTTTGGTTAATGTATTGGGTATGAAGTATGTCAATGCTAAATACGTACCAAAATACCTGAATTATTTGCGAAAACGACGTCGACTAGAGATCGCAAACGAGATAGCTGAGGACCTTATATACATCAAACACATTATCAATTGGTGACGAGATGCGTCCAACAAGTAACGAATGGCGCTCCAAACATTACCCAAAACCGAGCAAACCCAAATTCCTTGAACGCACTGAAAAGCATATCAGTCGAGCCTTAGAAAAAATTGTATGGAAAAATTAATTCAGTATTGCCATGATTCTGACTATTTAGAGTGTGATAATCAAATTTTTGTATAAAATTTTTTACTAAAATTTTTTTTATAAAATTTTTTGATACAATTTTTTTTAATAAAATTTTTAATAAAATGTTTTAATACAATTTTTTAATAAAATATTTTTAATACATTTTTTTTTTAAATTTTTCAATACAATTTTTAAATAAAGTAAATGAAATTTCTTACTGTCAGTTCGGATCAAATTTGATCAACTTCTATTTTTTTGAGAATTACAACAAACCATTAAGCGTACATGACTCTTCTGATCTTTAATAAATTGTGTAAAATATTTGATAATACTGGCAATGAACTGCTAATTGTTCGCATTGTAAACATATTTATTATTTGCTGCGAACAAACACAAACGCGCTTGACTTAATACATAACTGCTGTTTAATATTTAATATGCCGACAAGCGGCGTAAAAAGAATAATAAACAAGCAAAAACAACAATAAGAACCAAATTATTTGCTGCGCAATTAATGCAAAAAGCACGCTTGTAAACAAGCACGACGCTGGCAAATAGTGAAACAATGCAAATAAACACAATGAAAATATTACTCATACGCCGTGGTAACGAAATAATTTAAAATTACACACACATAACCACTTCCTTACAATTACACAACGCCATTAATATTCATTTTATTTACCAATTGAAGCACAGCATGCAATATTCATTTAGTAAAATAATATTTTAATTACAAGTAGTGTGTGTGTTTGTGTGTCTCTCATTTTCGCTCTCTCTTGCATTCCACAGAGAACCGCGCCGGGCCCTCGAATCTCGGCAATGTCATCAGTCAAATACTGCTTTGCAAACAAATAACACCCGACTTCAATCAAGAGGAATTATGCAGCATTACCAAGGATTCGCAGGAGATAGCGGTGCTGTTGGCCGAAATGCAGGAGTTCATGCCGCAGCACGACACATATCTCGGTGAGTACTTACACTTACATGTAATTACATAGCAAACACATTAAAATAATGCAAACAAATTGCATTAATACTACTTAGTACAGCCACTGACATTTATTCTAATTACTGTGTGTTACACATACACATGTATGAGTGTGAGTTTCATGTGACGCATTGTGCCTACTTTGGTTAGCGTATAAATCATTTGTGCAACATGGGTGAGACATTGTACACAGTTGTAAGGAACAATTACAGTTACTGTGCAAAGATATGATTATAAATGCAGATATGTATACACAAATATATTACATATATTTTTCTTGAATTTATATACATGTCTTTGCATATGTAGATGCAAATTTCTCTGAAGAGTTGTTCCGTAATGAATTGAAACACGATTTATATATTTTTGAGTTACACACCAGCAACTTTGTCACTCCTAAAACGAATCATCTCAGGCTTATCTGAAAATTGGTAATGGGGCCTTCTTGTTTTGGGTCCATTTGGTCGTTCCGTCTCAATTCTTGGACGCATTGCATTTTTTAATCCCCAAACTGAAATACTTCGCAAAATCTTCCATAACGGGAATGGGCATAGCTCCAATTGTTGCGCCTAAAGGCAGATGCAGTTAACGTGGTACGAAATCGATTCATGATTGCTCAAATTACTAACTCTGCTACGCGATTATATCGACCTAACACAAAATTTCCGATTTTACTCTTGCTTGCCATATTTTTTGCTAGTATCGGTCTTTAGCTTGCATATCTTCACTGGAAAGTAAAAAAAAATTGTGCTGAATGTAAGCTTCAGTTCATGAATAAAGTTATTCCAGATATTTTTAGGGCTATACAATGTAAACATATAAGTTTTGGAAGTACGTCCTTATTCTCTTCATTAAAGATCCATTTTATGTATCAAAATATCGGCTCATTGTCAGAAACTCTATATTTGAATTAGGGAAAAAGTTAAATCTTTTTTAAAAAAAAGTTAAGAATAGTAAGTAATATGTATAATTTCGTGAAAATTCTCACCATTATCTTAAATCTTAAAAGTTCACCAGCGCGGCATATTGCTAAATTAGAATATTTTAAAAATATTATTTTTACTAAGCATTATTAAACAATTACTTCTTTAGCACTATAAATAACATAATATGTATCAGATCCATTAAGGGCATGGTTAACAACGCTTTTACCTGACAGCACGCACCGTAGTGTTTTCAAATAAGTACCTACATACAAGTACATATACATATATACTACATACAAATGAATCCAAAACGGCCTCGTACGTTCACTACTTGGTCACTATGCTGTAATTTAATATGCTTTTAAAACTTGTACAAGCTTATACCTTTCAGTCTTGTACATATTTTTGGCATTGATGGATGTGCATAATTGTGAAAATATCAAGTGTAACTTTGCGCGACCACCATTATCAGCTATCAGTGGCAACGCAAGCAGTGCAGAATTTCACATTACTATTACTTGTTGTGTTTATATGCGTGTGTTTTGTACGTATTATGTAGATATTTTAACTCACAAACGTTTGCACAATATCTGCATTATAATTGCGTTTTAGCTGCATAATTGAATTATTATCTAATAAAGCACATACAACCGCCAGCCAGCATACATAAAAGTGTATCCGAACTATATACATATACTTGTGTAGCTATATATATGCGTATATATATAATAGCTGCGCTTCTTGGTATTAATTCTGGATTGTATTTATACCATACAATGCAATAAATATCAATCATACGCCCTGTTGACCTGCAATTAATATGTGTCATTTATTGGTAGTTGCAGAGTAGCATTATGTACAATTAGTTCGGCTTAAATTATAATAAATTTTGTATTTTAATATTTTATTTAGAGGCTTGGTGATTTTTGGTGAAATGACATATTAGTTGATTTATTATAAAATTTTACAATCAAAACTTATAAACTAGATGACACTGAGGTCAATATTTTTATCAAGTTAAGTTTATTCAATGGATAAATGCAAATTTTGATATGCTTTTTTTGGAATATATTATTTTAAAATTTAGTTAATGAGATGCTTGGTTTTTATTTTCTCTAAAACAGTGGTTGAACTTTGGCTAATATGTAGGTGCTAATACCTAAATATAATTTAAAGCAAGTGCTTACAAAAAAATTTTGTATTTTACATTATTAGCACTAGAACTACGAAGATTATGATAAATATCAAATAGGTCTCTCTCTCTCTCTGAAAATTAGAAGCGTAAAAACAATATAATCTATAATCTAATTCTATACCCAAATTTAATAAAAATCATGACATTGCCGTAAAATATTAAATAGGAACAAAGAGGAAACGGTATAAATAAATGATGCAACCGGTCATTTTGACCGGTTCGTAGTTCTAGTTTTAAGAGGTGTGATTATTTTAAACTTTTAAGCGTATTTTGCAGATTTTTGAAAAAAAGGATAATTATTTTTTGAGTTACACGCAATCTCCGTAGTCGCTAAAAAGAACGCCTTCACTGCTGCAGGGACTCCGGCCTCCTTCATGGTTCTAACCTAAAAAAATTTCACAAGAAGATATTGTCTGGTTAAAAAAATAAAAAATAAAAGCTGACAAAATTTATTTTATTAAAAAATTTTGTCGTTTTTGGCTTACCAAAAATTAAAATAGAACTGGCAGGTGATTGAGTGGCGAACTATTCATATTTATGCAAATATATTTAATAGTTTTGGGATCATTTGTTAGAAAAATTATATTTTGAATAAACGCGTTAAAAGCTAAACTGATTAAGTTGATTCTATATTGAGAAACTATAACCTTTCATAAAGAGATTTTTGCTCGAAAGATTTTCAAATTTACCTCTTATAGAGCTTGGGTCAATAAGTTGTTTTATTCCGGTTTTGCAAATTAACGAATTTATTAAAAAAGACTCTAGACATAGGTGACCCTATTTGTCTCGGCAAAATCTGGAACGGTTTTTTTAGTCTTCGATTTTTTCCATATTACAATTCACTGAAAATTGCGACATATAATAAATGAGAGAGCAACATAATTTTATTCAATTCATTCGTTTTTATTTTAATTTCTCGCTCAACTCGGGATCCGGACTGTCCCGGACACTTCTTCTTCAAACTAAATATTTTTCTAGTTAAAGAGAAATATCATGACACAAGCCAGAAATTTCCGAAAATCACACATGAAAAAGTAATTGTTTGAAACTAATTGCTGCTTTCAGAGAAAAACTACAAATATTTTCAAAGCAAAATAAATATTTGAAATAACAAGAAATTTTAATCAGTAATAAGAAACAACACGAACAAAAAAAATCTTTTATATTTTTTCAATAATCTGAATTGTGCTTATGCACATGTACACAAAACAAGTAAGAAAATGATAAATTCGGATGTAAGCGAACGCTGCATATGCTTGCAACTTGCCAGAATCAAAGCCGGGGAAATACCTTCAGGTGCATTTAGTTTGTTAGTTATATAGGGTCAAGGGCAAGTTTTCACCGGACTGTATTTATTTTAGATACACCGTTGTTCGAAAAACATGCTCTCTCAATTTTATTAAAATAGCATCACATATTTGCCGATATACGTATAAGATACACTCGTAAAGCCAGCCGGAAGTTCGAAAATCTTTGTATTAGGTATATGTGTACTAAAGGAAGTATTGATCCGATTGCATCCATTTTTGACATAGGTACAAACATAATATTTTCGGGAAAATACTTTTTCTTCACAGCTTGACCGTTATTTTTGATAAAAAAGTCGCAATAGGAACTGGGATTCACATATTCGTTAACTGTGTACTTGAATAATTTTGAGCCGGTTCGAAAAGAGGTATTCGTGCAAAGTTTTATACAGATACATAGATTGGTTCCTGATTTGTATACTGTGGAAAGTGATGGATGCATAGAATCGTGTTCTATGGGAAGTAGGCATGGTTTTCGTATGATTTCGCTCATTATCGCTACGTGATGTAGGAATTTCAGTATAATATTACCTACTGAATTTGGTTGAAACCGGTGGAGTAGCTCCCGAGATATGGCTTTTCACCAAAAGTACCACACCCGTCGTTCAAATTTAAGACATTCTCCTATAAAGAATTTTTGTATCAGCTCGGGTGTAAAAGTTTATGTCTTTGGCGCATTTGTTTATATGGTAGATTAATCGCACTTTTTGTAGTTTTTAACAAAACTGTTATATGGGGAATGGGGCCAGTGAATAATTGTAACAAGTTTCATCAAGATATCTCAATTTTTACTCAAGTTACAGCTTGCACATACGGACGAACAGACAGTCACTTCGATTTCAACTCGTCTCTTCATCCTGATCATTTATATATACATAATCCTATATCTAACTCGATTATTTTTAGGTGAAACAAATAACCATTTCTTGCATTTAAAATAAACAGAAATACCAGAAATAGAAATATAAATCAAGGTAATTTATGAGGAATTTGATTTAGAGCAAATTTATGTGTCGTATATGTATGCGTGCGTGTGTGTGTACACAAATATTTTTCAATATAATTTCCATTTCAACATCATCATCAACCGGCACATCAAGCAAAACACATTTCGCATTTTCACCACAACAATTTAATAAATGGCAAATCTACTTACTTTTCTCACTCTCACTCTCTCTCTCTTTTTCTACCATCGAACTTGCTACTTTGCCTGCCATCGTAGAACGTAGCGCCGCGCTCGACTCGGCGAAGAGCAGTCACAACTTCATTTACAAGAATATGAGTTTGCTTTGTTGTATGTCACGTCCGAAATATCTCTGAGAGGAAACCTAGGGTCTGGTGCGGGGCCAGTGCCCCGTTGTGATAACAACGACACAACCAGCAGTCACAACAACAACAACAGCAATAACGGTTGTTACGACAAAAGCAACAACAACATCTGCTGCAACCATGTCAGCCACCACCACAACAACAGTGACGTCGACAGCAGCAACAACAACAACAAATCCAACATTAAGCAAATGGACGGACACACTGTGTCAATTGTGTCGAACAAAAAATAATGCAAATAATAACTCATAGTAGGCAATTAAGATGCAGGAGTACATTAAGTAGATAAATAGAAAGTAAATAGCAATTAACAATTATTGTGGATGGGCGTATAGTTTGTATATGTATATATATCTATATATTTGTATATTTATTTATATATATATATACATGTATGTGCATATGAGTTGACTAGTTTGTACGTGTAGTAGTAAAGACACCAAATTGTAAGCCAGAAAGCACCTAAGCGAGTAAGTAAATCTGTAGTCGTTAGCTAATTATAGGCAAATAAATAAAAAAAGCACGAAAAAAGTCGATAAATTCGAAAATACCTTCTATGTTTTTACACACACATTTACATACAAAGTTTTATTTACATGCCTTACATGTTTGTATGCATTAACTTCCATACTTTTGTTCTTCCCCAAATGAGTTACTGAATACTTGTATAAATGCAGCGCACTTAGTTAAATCTATGTTATACGTATAAATAGATATACACATATGTAGTATAAGCGCACATTCCCACACACACACACATGCACATATAAACCGTCATGCATTAAAAGCTTTCAGCAATTCAAAATAACTGTATTTAATAGTGACTAAGTAAGCTAATTAATTTATAGGTTAGCATTAAAATGAATTAGTAAAATCAGATATTAGCATGTGGCAAGTTCGTGCTATCGCCGTTATTGGCTGCATTAATGAAATTAATCTTGATTTTAGTTATGCGGCAGCGTGGAGAATAAACTTCAATGCGCAACAAAAATAATAATGGAGCTTGATAGCGACAAATTAGTTAAAATTTCTAATATTAGAACGATAATTTTTTAATTTTCGCAAATTTTTTTATAATAAGATATTGTTTCTTTAGTATGCGTAATTGAATTTTGACATAATTAAATGTAATACTTAAATTTTTCCAATTAGACCAATGCAAAAGCCGTTAAAAGATAGCACAAATTAAACAGAAAATAATTTGCGGGCGATCTGTGGCCGGGAAAAAGAAGGGAAGGCAGTGGTTAAATTTTTAAGGGTTAGAAATGGTTACTCTAGATTTACGCTTAAGCAACGAGTGCTATAGAAAAAAGCTATATGGTAAAGTTTTAGGTAATAAAAAGCTCTAATACTTTTGTTATCACACCATTTTCACATAACCTCAAAATTTATGTGAAAAATTCAAATATCCAGGTTTTTGGGATTTTTATTTTTATTTTCCACAAAAAAAAATCTTTCGCCAAATTTGTATGTCACGATATTTTTTTATTTAAAATGTTTTTTGACTTTTGGTTAAATCGAAAAAAAACCTTATTTTGACCTTTGGTTAAATCGAAAAAAAACCTAATTTTCGATCAAAAATTTCACATCAAAATAACAGAATTTAAAAAAAAACTCAGTAGGGTTTAAAACACTTAGTGAGATCTTTGCACTACAAATATTATTTTATTTCAATCCAGACAGTTAAATTCAGACCTCTTTGCAAACCTTGTAAGTTATTCATAAACTCAAAATTTTCACTCGAGTTAGTCCAGAGGGAAATTTTTTTTAAGATTGCAAACATTATTATTTTTCTTAATGTTTTATTCTTGTTTATAAAAACATTTTTAAAAATAATTAAAAAATTGCTTTAAAATTCTTGATTTTTCAGGCGTTTTTTTTTGATACTTTTAAATAATATCTAAAATTTCAAAAATAAGTTCTTCTACCAAATTGTTAAATATTAACCATTCGCCTAGAAGTAGATCATATTTTTAAATTGATCTATTTTGTGTCACAAATAACTGTTGCCTACATTTAGGGTATTATTTCAAGACAATAGTGTTTTACGATATGTAATTAAAGAAAAATATTTCCCATTATTTGTAATATCAAATTAAATTTATTAAAATGTATTAAAGTTAAAATATTTTTAATACTGAGGCACATTCTATAAAGAAGTAAATTATTTTCGATTGAAATGCAGAATAAAAATCATTGCTGCCTTAATCTTTACAGATTATAGCCTTTCTCAAATTCTTTGATGATAAAAGAGTATTCACAGTATCAACATAAAAATAATTGATAATTCACAAGTTCGCCATGCTATAATAAATTATGATGAAATAGCACATAAATTATTAAAAAAAAAATTTTTTTGACGTCATAAACTGGCTGCATTATTTTGCCCTCATTTGCTTTTACAACTACAAACCCTCTTATAACTACTTTCCGTTCACATAAAACACTCCAAGTTTCTAAACCGCGTCGCTCATTTTCAAAATTAACTACTTTCTTGTTAATTGCTGATGTCAATGCGGAATTAGCTGCTGTCAATTACTTTATGCTCTCTTGCTGCACTTCGAAAAAGGAAAGTTTACTTAGTTTTAACTGTTAGCACTCAAAAAATAACACGTTGCAGAAACGAAAGTTATCGTAATGACCATAACTGGTAGTGAAAGCACTACTCTTTGACACCCTTTGTTAGCCAGTTGGCTGTCAGTGGCACATTACTACACACCATTGAGCTACTCAAAAAAATGCCAGGCTAATTGTGTCGAGTGATGACTTAGTAAGAGTAATTACAAGTTTTTGTGGATTAATACCGGTGATTGTTTTTAGGTGTCGTAATTGCTATCAGATATTAACATCAATATTTTTTATTAAAGAAAAAAAAATGCTTTACAAAAATCCATAAACTATTACAAATAATCTTCCTTTTCATTAGTGCTAATAGACGTTTTGTGTAACACAACCCGTTAGGAATCTCTACTAAACAATTTTGTGACTTTTTTAAAGCTAAAAAATAAATGTTTTTTAATAAAGAAAAAATATTTTTTTTTTAAACATAGCATTATTATAAATATTCTTCCTTCCTTTTCATTAGTGCTGAAAGACTAACCTGGTAGAGGTCTCTGCTAAATAATGTGGCGCCTGTTTGTAGGCAAGATTCACCTTTTCTTTATGACAGTCTTTTATTTTATATATAATTTTTTTATTAATTTGACAGTCTTTTATTTTATATATTATTTTTTTATTTTTTATTAATTTTAATTTAATTTAAGTTTATTTTATTTTATTTTATTATATTTTATTTTATTTTATTTTGTTTTATTTTATTTAATTTTATATTATTTTATTTTATTTTATTATATTTTATTTTATTTTTTTTTTTATTTTTTATTTTGTATTTTTTTATTTTATCTTGCTTTAATTAATTTAATTTATTTTATTTTATTTTATTATATTTTATTTTATTTTATTTTATTTTATTTTATTTTATTTTATTTTATTTTATTTTATTTTATTTTATTTTATTTAATTTTATTTTATATTATTTTATTTTGTTTTATTTTATTTTAATTTATTTTATTAATTTTATTTTGTATTATTTTATTTTATCATAATCTAATTTAACTTAATTTTACTTTAGTTAATCTTATTTCTTTATTTATTGTACTTTTTCTGATGTTCAAAACTTTAATTGAGCTAATTTTATTATTTGATAATTAAGATTATTAATTTACAAAATACTGACGGTTTATTTTTATGACCTTAGCAATTCATTTAAAAAAGTTACCAATGCTTATAACTTCAATGCAGCCAATTAGCCAATGCATATATGGTACATTTTTTAATAAAAATTATTAAACTTCATAATGAATTTGTGCACATCACTTTTACATATAACAAGCAAAACTAGTTCAAAGCAGTCAATTTGAATGTACATACAATTAATCTGTAATATGTATTTGTATTGTTGAGCATAAATTTCTAAAATAAATATAAGCTTAGCTATATGCAATTGAAATAAAAAATATATATTTATGTGTGTATTTTCAATATAACTGTACATAGTTTGGCTACAAAACTCACACATACAGAGATAAGTATATAAGAAATCAAAACAATGCATTCACAATTTGCAACACAGCAAATCTATATTCAATTCAATTATAAATATCTGCACAAACAAAACAAATACATGCATATGCTGGTGCTAACAAAGAAAATCACACATAAATGCCCACATACCGTTTATCATTTGCAGCAGTTATTCTATATATCTATGTATTTGCTAATAATTAATTACATTGGTCGAATTTAAGCAAACCGCAAATGCAGAAATGTACAAACAGTTACAAAAGCCTGTTTACTACAATAGTGTTATATTAGTAGTGCTGTAGCCAGCAATATGTGTATGCTACTTGGTGCTACGGGGCGTATAAGTAACATCAAACTAATGCTAAAGTATGTGCCTGTACTTGTTCACTTCAACTGGACAATTTGTAGCTTTTGTTTGATGTAACCCTTAAATATGCAGTTGTTTTTATTTACATTGTGCCAAATGAATATCACAATTATTGAAACTTTCGGCTACTCAGTTATAGTTTATTACTTCTGAGGTTCTTTGAACATCAATTAAATTATTGTTTGTAATCTGTAATGCTTTGAATATCTCAAAATGCATAATATTTTCTAAAAAAGCATTGACACCTTATTCTATACCGATTTCGCAAAAACATAAAATTATAATAAATATTGCATATTTTGATTTTAAGGCTACTAGACTACAACTTCTACGCATCACGCTCATGCCTAAGTGTAGACCACAATTTTGCTTTAACTAAATGTACATACAAAACTTAAATAAAACATTAGTTTTTAGAAATCTTTCATATTCGACTCTACTAAGACATTTTTTATTATTCTTGAATCTTCAGGTGACTTTTATTTTATATTAAAATTTTTTTAGTCTATCTTAAATGCCTCCACTAATTAAAGTTGCACCCAAATGTAGACTAGGTTCTTGAAATTTTGAGAATATTTTTTTTGTTTTATAATTAAGTATTTTCTTTTAACGTTTATTTCTGTTAATTATTTAATTGCGTTTATAGTTCTCTCACCTTCATATATGTATATGATTTATTGATTTCATTCAAATTACTCAGATTAAGACACCTAGGAAAGAATACCTTTATTTACCATAACTATTATTTAAGTTTTAGTTTTTACTTTACAGAAATTTATTTTTATTTTCTAAGTTAATTTTATAATTTATTAATTTAATTTTTAATTTTAGCATTAACTTAAATGGTAAATTATTTTTAATCATCATTTTGATTTCGATTTTAATTTTAATTTATAGTTATTTTTTTTTTAGTTTTCGTAAATTTAAATTTTAATATTATTATTAATTAATTTATTTTAATTTTCATATTAATTTTAATTTTCATAATAATTTTAATTTTAGAGTACATAATTTATTTTAATTTTTAATTTTAATTTTCATATTAATTTTATTCTAAATTTTAATTTTAATATAAATTTTAGTTTCAATATTAGTTTTTATTTAGGTTAGGTTTAATTTAATTTTCATATAAATTTTAATTTTTATATAAATTTTAATTAAAATTTTAGTTTCAATTTTAATTTAAATTTTAACTTTAATTTTCTTATTAATTTTAATTTTAGTTTTATTTCAAGCAATAATTTCACTATAAAATTTAATTTAAATTTTTAGTATTAATTTTATTATAAATTTTAATTTTAATGTTAATTTTACTTCTAATTTTTATATTAGATTAAGTTTAATTTTAATTTCAATTTTAATTTTAATTTTAGTTTTAAATTTAATTTTAATTTTAGTATTTATATTCATTTTGATGTTCGATTTTAATTTTAATAAATTAATGAATAATACGTAAGCGCTCGCAGCTTTGACTTTGCCACGGAGTTCAGTGAAGTTTATTAAACTTAAATTAATTTTAATTTAATCTTATGTAATTTAATTTAATTTTAATTAATTTTTATTAAAATTTAAGTTTTAATTTTAAATATTAAGCCAAGTAAAAAGTTCGTTCGGTTTATATCTAAGAGATGGCGTTATTGTCCATAGCACTAGTATAAATAAATGTTTTGGGTTAATTAATTAATTAATCTTAATTATTATTTTAATACCATTTATACCTACAAATTGTAAAAAATATGCATATATTACTGTATAAGCTAATAATTCCAACATCTTTATCCTTAAAAGCTTAAATATATTTCTAATTATTTACATTTGGAGCATATTTAAAATAAATTACGAAATATTTTATTTGATTACCCGAATTATATTACCAAGTTCGTGTAATTTAATTATTTTTCAATCTGGTAACTCATACGCCATGTATTACATAGCTCAATTAACACGACAATTGCAAGCAAAAAAGTATCAAATTAAATATTGACCAAATCAAAAGCAAACCAAAAATATA